TGTCATATATATGATATATATGACATGTATATATGTATTATCAATATATATATCGTAGCTGTGCGCCTTAGCGTCGCGAGTGGACGAAATATTCATAACTTAAAGCTCGAGATTATGATAACAGTTTTCTAGTAACTTTTGTATGGAGTTCTTATACAGTCTTCATGGTTGGTCTTCATGGCTAATAGCGCCGACACCATAGCGCTCAGCACCCTGTTAGTTTCTTTGGAGGAGTGGAATAACGGAATCGTTATTAAGTACAACAAAACTTTATTTCTGTTAGCACACCGTTCCACGTGTCTCAGTTTCTTCTCTCTTTGAAACATTCCTACGCACGTTCGATTCTCCCGCGCTTCAATTGTTTTTTCCCCACTACTCGAAGTGTCGTAAAGGTCGATCCCCACAGCATATACTTGAAAACGACCTCGAGCGTTGATTTCTTGTATCTCTGTCGATAGTCCAGGAAATAATCGTAACTCGTAGTTGTGAGTTACTAATCGAATCGTGGTCGGTCGAGCTATCGAATATTCGAGTACCATCTATCACCTATCGAGTTGCAAGTTGCGTGTGATACTGATAGGTGACATTTTCTTCTTTGCTTCTCGTTGATTATATTGTAGATCGAAGTTGACTCTTTTGTAAAAGAAAATGGCTGGTGCAGATTCACCCGAAGAAAAGCTTACTGGATTTTCCAAATATTACAACAGTGTCACCGATCGAGGTCGAGCAAATGTGAGTAACCTCAAAGTTGATTCGTTCGCATTGCGAGAGGTTACTTAATTTTCATGCTAAAACTTTGAATTTTTTCAAACGTTGTTCAAACGTTTTGATTGTACCATTTCTTGTTTTACAGGTAGCCAAATCAACGTATGCTGCCGTTGCTCTGATAGCTCTTTACTTTTATTTAAAACCGAAGAAAAAGGCTGCAAACTGACTCGAAGATGAAAGCCGATAGACGTATTATGTAATAATATTTTCTGTATATTAACTTGGTTCTGTTGTGAAATAAAGAAGAAACGGATTTTTTTCCGATTGTTCGTCATTGATATCTCGGTGGTTTATTTTAACGGTTCGTGCGTCACACAATTGTATCGTATATGTAAAATGAATATACGCAATATCTCTTGTAATGTTTTAGTGCCAGTTCTATACGATATCAATCTCAATTTAATATATTACGATCGTATAGATGTGGTTGGTTAGCGATCGATTAAATAAATTTTAAATTCTGAAGGACAGTGTAACTTCAATAATCTTTGCATCCACAGTTTCCAAGCGCGTTGAATTATTTTTATAAAGATCAACGATTAATATTAATTTGTATATAAAAAAATTAAGTATTTAATTATAAAAGTATTAAATATAACAATTTATTTTGTTAATTGTACGAAATTTAAAGTAGTCAGGAGTAGCGGTCGACTAAATGTTAACTAAACCAAAGAGTACAAGTAATTGGCATAGTTTATTTTTGTGATGGCAAGATTCATATTGGCTATACACATATACATATATAATTGCAAAGATTTGCAGGATAATTATATCTCGATAGAAATTTCATGACTAGAATATAATGTACATGTATACTCGTATAGTTGATGTAATTTGTTGTACGTATAGCTAGTTGAGAGCGTTTCTTTTCCCTCTGTTGTTTGATTCCATATTTTTACATTGGTTTTCCATTTATTCGATTGACAGAGTTGTTTACAGCAATTCAGCGTCTACCAGAAATTAACGAGGATCGTTTTAAATTTCGATATTTACAATTTCTTTTGCGTATATGTGATATTACTTGAAATGTATGATTTTTCTTTGAAAAACTTTATGTGCTTTTTCGCAACGACGGTACGTTTCGAAACGACGCGAAATGATCGATACTCGAGAAATATACAATAACAGTTACTTTTAATAGAGTTGGCTATAATTTAACGAAAGTATACCACGGTGTACCTACAGGTTACACCTTACGTGAAACAATATAAAAGAATCTAAAAGATGTACTACTTATCGTTAGTTGGTACATAAATGGCTTCAGGTACACGTTTTGTATTTAATTCTGAAATACCATGGTGTAAATCTAAATGAATCAGACGGTGCAAAGTCTTTCGCTACAATAATACACGGTATTTCTTGGTTTGCGTGTATACAAATGTTACTTTAGATAATATTCATAGAATTGAGAAAATGATAGCGAAACGTTTTGTTGCGAACTCATCTTCATCGGTATATACTATACAATAGTAAAGTAAAGTAATATGGTACACCATAATATTTCAGTGCGTTACGATTAATAGAATTATTTCGTGCGCTTTAATGACCTCGATCAGCCATGTGCTGATCAGTCTCTTTGAAAATATACAATATTTTATTTACGCGAAAACGAATCAATAGTCTGATTCGATTTTTCAAATGTTACTCGCATTTCATGGATCATGATCGTAAGGGAAGTTATGGAGAGTTAATAATACTGTATCGTTACGTTTGTAATTCCAAATCGTAGACAAACGAATTTCGATGTCCTTAAAGAACATCTAACGATAAGAACAACAGCAAATGTAGGCTGTTTGGTCGGTTCCCTCTTCTCTCTTTTATAGTTTAGTTTAGTTGATTAGTCCAAGTAAAGTCTCGGTGATGGGCGCGATAACATATGAAAATAATATACGTATAATAGTTTGCACGTAGTATTTACAA